ATATATGTATGTATGTATATACCGTATGCTTGTGCTGCCTCAGTTTGGCTTAAAGAATAAAGTTTAATTGAAAACAAAGACAAGTGTTTCCCTCCTTGCCTATATATTTCTGCTTTTATTTCTAATTATGTCAGATTCGGTCCCCCCAACCAAATCCCCCCCCCACCCAAAGACAAAAGTGCATTCATACCGAGCATGAAGAGCATCTCCACTGCTACGTCGCTCCATATGGTGCTGCGACTGACRAGCGAAGGACGATCGCTCCCCTCGTTTTGACTGACAAAGCAGACGTTGAAGGGCACGGTGACGGCAACGTAGAAGGTCGCCAGGAGAATCAGCCAGTCCCACAAGGCCTTGGAGATGCTGTAGTGCAGCAAGATAAAACGTGACTTCCTTACTGATGCCACCTTGTACTCAGGTGGGGAAGGTTTCTGGAACATACTCTGAAAAAAGAAAAAAAGTGGCTCAATACTTGAACTTTGTATCTCAACGCAATTGAGCTAAGTAAMGTTCATTTCACATGTAGATTTTATTTGATCCAGACTCTTGAATAATAAAAATACAATCATCATCACAGCAGTTTGCATGTTTTTTTGCCCGTCCCCTGTGGCAAATTTCATTCAAACACATCAAATCAAGGATGCTAAAAATAGRGAGACACTGATCAAAATGTCACTTTTACATAATGAATAACAAATACGGTTTCAGCTAATAAAAATACAAATTTGTCTTTGAGTAAAAGCAGTATGTGYCATGTCAAATAAAAGCAGACCACTCAGCTTGTCATTAGTATTAAATAAGATGAGTTTTAGTCAGAACTTTGCACTCACATTGGTCAGTTTCCCTTTTCCCCTCTTTGTGAACAGGTTGTTCAGGTGGTGCACAGTTGTTCTCCCCCTTTCTCGAACCCGGCTAAAATATGACGGGTTGCTTTTTCTGCTTTCTTTCAGAACTTTTGGCACATCTGTTTGCARAATCACAAAGCGCACCAAGTCAGTGTTAATCACATTTACAAGGTCTTCACGTGACAGCATCGTTTCAAAGTTAACCTCATTTAAACGTGGTTTGGGTTTTTCGTGCAGCCCAGGCTCACCTTGTTCTTGAACGTAATGACGGTTTTTCTCATACGATTCACTGACATCTTTAAAGGATAACAGGAACAGCACCACCTCCCCCTTCTCGTTTTTAATTGGAACAATATCCAGGAGACACCAAAACTGATTTCCTGGGAGGATTAAAACGTTATTGCAAAGAGATTTACTCAAATAAAAGTGCCAGACATGTTTCAGCTGAAGTAATGGCTGGATATTAAAGGTTTAAACATATAAAAGCAAAAGCTCACAGGGACCCAAAGGCCAAGGAAATATACTTGTTTATTGTGTGGATGCTGAGTCAATGTCACTGCTTTCCTGTTTATACCTTCTTCTGTACATTTGCTGCAAATTTTGTGCTATTTTAGCTCTTCCTAAACATTCTGCTCAGTTAAGTGGATAAGAAAATCTAAAAAACCAAAGTGTAGCTGATCGATCTCACCATTCTTCCTGTAGAAGCAGACTTCTCCCTGGTACTCCTGCTGGCCCTCCAGAGCTTTGTGGACCTGCAGGATCACAGAGTCGCTGGTCTCGGCTCCGTGAAGGAAGCTGCAGGTGCAGGTTTTCTGCATCACCTCTGTTCGAAYGAAGCCGGTCAGTTCACAGAAGCCATCAGAGCAGTAGACAATGGGGTAACCGTAGCGGCCCTGAGCATTTCCCAGGAGGAAGTTACTGTCTGTGAGGGAAAATGCAGAAATTGTCACACATTTATGAACCWAATTCTGATGACATAAAAGCCTTATTTGTGAAAAATACATATAGTGTTCAGATTTGTAAGCATTTGTGACATCGCCATCGTTTGAGTGCAAGATGTGTGTGTGGTAAAGAAGGTAAGTAACGAAACATCTGCTCAGACGCTGAATAACTTCTGCAGCAGTCGTTAGTGGTGCTTTCACTGTACTTTTTTACATGCTGCGTTCGGGCAGGCTGCCACATGGATCAATAAAACCTACAAAAAAAAAATCAATAAGTCAGACAGGATGATGTACATAATTTACAAAAGCATCATCTTTTTCTATTATTGAACATCAGGCATATTTTTCTCTCCTCCATTCTCTATGTTTTGTGTATTATTTATATATTTTGCTCTGCATTGACCGTGTGACTGAGTTACAATTTTAGAATTTAATCTTGTTTTGATGTTTCATTACATTTCATTTTATCTTGCCACCATTTTACATTGTTAATGATTGCGCTTTATAAATAAAACTTTACTTACTTACTTCTTTRCTTACTTATCTGTGAAAGCAGAAGATTAATTTTCCTGTTGTCTGTTGACAGAAACTCAAAGGACTCGTTTGTGTGACTTTATCCGTGATTTATAAAGTAGGATGTGCTGAAGAGTTGGCACAGAAAGGGCCCGCTTTAGTTTACTTAGATTTGCATAAGATACAGTTCAAGTGTTGGTAATGAGTTGTTGATTTTACAGTAAAAAAAACTACAACCAGATGTCTCTCCACAATATCACAGCCAATAAATT